GGTCTGTTGGGGCGTGGACCAGAGTACCGTGACTGATGAATTTCTTCTGGAGAAGATTCACGATATTACCGACAACTTCCAGAACCAGGAGCTACCAGACGTGAAGGAGTTGTTTCGTGAGAAGCTACGGATGAACATGAACAACACGGATATCGATGCCCGAGTGATGAGTACTTTCATTTGTGTAATTCGTTGATAAAAAAATGGCTTTTCTGGCTTCTTTGAGGAAGAGCGTGAGGCTAAGGAGAAATGCAAGCTCATAGTCAACTCTCTTCCGAAAGGACTCAAGAACAAGGTCCAGAATGAACAGGACTACCGTGTCCCGGAAGCTAAGAGCGACATCCGGAAACTATACGAGCTCGTCCGTGTCAAGGCTAAGAAACCGGCAATTGAAGAACGGGCCTTGAAGAAAGCCAATCCCGCACGCAAGAAAAACGAACGGAAGGAGCAGAAGAGCTCTGGAAATCACCAGAACAAACGACGTGCTGAACAAAATGACAATCGAATGGTCAAGAAGGTGAAACAGAAGAAGGATTTGGATTGGAGCCAGCAGAAAGGTGGCCGTTCGGAGCGCTCAGCCACAAAAGGGGCGCCTAAAGAAGGTTTTTTCATTGTGGTGGAGCCCATTACCTCTTTAAATGTCCAACAGCAACCCCAGTCAAAAAATGAAAAGCTGCTTATTTACCACAAAAAAAGACAGGGAAGACTCAAGCAACAAAGGGAGGCACCGATAAGTAGAAACGAATTGGTGAATGCTTTCCCAAGCAAGATCGAGTTGTTGTATTGGAAGATGAAGTGGAAGTCCCGGTTTGCATTGACAGTGGAGCAGATCGGTGTTGTCTGGATGAGAGCTGTTTTGATCGATTGGTACATGTGAAGCCGGAAATTGTGCGTATCAAGTTGGATGAACCTTTGAACTGCACGATGGCCGACGGAACATCCGTTTGTGTGAATTGGACTGTGAAATTGAACGTGAGGTTGCAAACCTTAGCTGGTAATGTTCATGTTGCGGAGCCGGTTGAGTGTCTTATCATTCCCGGTAACTCCGGCGAATTCCTGCTGGGAAACGACTTGTTGCTCAAGCTAGGAATCGACGTTTAGAGGCATTTGGAATTATTGGCGGTGCCATTAGCGGCCGATATAAACGAAGATGAATTTGATGATGCTGATGAACCTGCGATTGGGGATTCAGGGCAGCATGAAGAAGACGTCAGGACTGGCATTTTGGAGCTGGTTGAAACAGCAATAGCGGACGGGTTTCCACGGGAATATAAGAAGATACTTGCCCCTTTTGCGCTGCGTTTGGACTTATGGATGATTCAATTGGGCACAGATCCTCCAGCTAAAGTTCCCCCGATGAAGATTCGCTTAAAGCCTGGTGCTAAACCGTACAGGTGTAAAGCAAGGAAGTATCCACCGGAAGTCCGTCGCTTTATGGAGGATTTCAACGCTAAACTCGTGGAGTTAGGGTGGGTATATGAAAACCGAGAGAGCAGGTGGGCATGTCCGGCACT